CCCCCGAATATGGGGTCATGGACACAGCGTTGGCTGCGCAATGCCTCCAAGACGCGCAAGAAGAAGAGGGCACTGGAGCCAAAGAACAGGACACTCGTCATTTGGCCACAACGTGAGCAACAGCCAACAAAGGAGTGCCCTAGTCACCCGTGTTTGTATGGGATGGCCAACGAGGAAGTGGCAGGGGCCACACCTGCCTTCTCTGGCTTTAGTAGGGAGAAGGGGAAATCCATCTCCACCCCAGCCCCAGGCCAACTGCCACAAGGCAGCGGACCACCCTCCCTCCTTCTCTTACACTGTTCTGATGCTAAGAGATCCTCCCAGAGCACTCTATGCCATTAGGTTCAGTAATCCATTGCAAACGGCACACACAACTCTGATAGCATGTGCAAGGACGCGGGCTTGTTAGGGCAGCTACAGGCTTCCATAGCCAGGGTCATGTAACAGGAGGGCACAGTCTTTGGTCTGCAGCAGTACCATTCCTCAGCCAGTAACCAGGTCTCTCTCTGGTTCTCAGCCCCTCAGCCACCTGATCCCTGGGCCTCTGCCTTTTTCCTGTGGGCCGGGAAGCCCACCCAGCGCCCTGCCTCTCGGTCCACGTCTCCAGTCTCTTCTCTGCAGTTCACCTCTTCACTGGGCCCCTCTTTACATCTACACGAGGAGGGGGTTCAAGGGAGTATTTCCTAAAGTCCCTTCTAGCAGTCTCTGAAATAGAGGTGTTGCCACAACAAATTGAAAAATTAAGATCAATAACTATCGTAGAGCAATTTTTAAATTAAAAACAGAACAAACAAAAAGGCCATCCCTGGGGCAGTCATCCAGCCTGCCAGTGTGGAATCTCCCTCCATTTAAGACCTCACTATACAATTGTAGCTACCGATGAGTTTTGGCTTCAGTAGAATGTAGACTTCTCTTCAGTTGCCTTGGGTTTTAGGAGCCCTGATGGTGTAGTGGTTCCTCATTGGTTTCAATCCGCACGGTCAGCAGTTCGAACCCACCAGCAGCTCTGAAGGGGAAAGACTGGGCTTTCTATTCTGGTAAACAGTTAGGGTCTCAGAAATTCACAGGGGGTGGCTATGAGTTAGCATTGACCCGAGGGCAGTGAGCATGCTTTATTCTGAGAGAGCTTATAGTGGCCCCAGGAAGCTGTTATTCCACGGCTTTTACTTTCCTGGGTAAAGACACCATGTCCTTTCATTGAGTCCTAGAGACGTGTCTCTGTTCTACTGTTTGCTTCCCTCTCCCTTTACTGCCATGCAGTTCCTTTCTTCTGACTGGATTCCCCTTTCCTTTCATTGAACCCCCACCCCTTTTCGTGAAAATACACACAACATAACATACATGCATCCAGCGTTGTAACTGTGGCACTGACACTGGCTACACGAGTCTCCCTTCTTCGCCATTGTCCCAGTCGCTGCCCACAGGGCTCTCAGCCCCTGAAGTGCTCTGCTGTGTTTTCGAAGGACCGTTGTCCATTTAACCCCCGATAGTTCTCTGAAAGTGGGCCATGCTCCAGGTGAATATTCTTGCTTAAACGGGCTAAATTGTTGTGTCGTTTAAGGATGACTTCAGGCGATGGTTTCAGTTCAAGGCTTACAAGGAATTTGCAGGTAATAGATTCGAGGGCCATGAGGCTTTCGTTCGTTCTTTCAGACAGGGGTTTTTGTGCAGGCCCTGATGCTGAGATGTGAATCAGGAAGAAAGAGCCTCTCTCTTTCTGGTACTACTCTCACTGGTCTGAGTCTAGACCAAGAGTCTCCGTGCATCTCTGATGATGCACCCATCAGCATCGGTAAAAAAGTAAACTAAAATAAAATAATTGGTGATGTGCCTTAATATACAAGGTGTGATTTGGAGCATGCGTAAAATTTGGAAATTAAAAAAAAGATGAGCGTTTATTCTAGACCTTGCTCTCATAGTGCCTGGGTAGTGAGTGGGCTGGGCTGTTGTTTGAGACCCTGCCACCTTAGAGTTAACACTGACAAGGTGGGGAAAACAGAGCGGAGGTGGCAAGTCAGAACGGGAATGTAATTTGCCACTTCAGCAGTTTCCTGGCCTCACTCGCTTGTTCCCTTCGCTCCCCGTGGATTTGTCCTGCGGCTGGGCTTCAATGTCTTTCCCTTGTCTTGCCACTGCAGTCCGGCCTTGCTGCGAAAGCTGGTATGTCAGTCCTCAGGCCCATTCTTGGAGCCATTCCCAGGGTCTAAGCTTGACATTCATGCATCGCTTGAATGCATTTCAGTTAGATCTCCATCCCCCCAGGGCTCCTGGCCCACCTCTGAAGCTTAGTAGTATTCTTGAAGATGAACTTGCAGCTTTTTGAAAATAACTCACATCTTTCTCCCCTTCAGGAGGGATTTGTTCGTGTTGACCGAGATTATGTGCTGAAGTCCGCAGAGCTGGCAAAAGCCGGAGGCTGCACACACTTCAACTTGCTGTCCTCTAAAGGGGCCGATAAGTCAAGCAGTTTTCTGTACCTGCAAGTGAAGGTTTGTATATGTTTTGATCTTTCCTAGGCCCTGGGGGACCCTGGCTAATTGGCAGCACTAATAATACAAGAGGGCAATGATGGTTCCATGGCAGAACTCGATGGTCATGTAGGACAGCTGGGTTCGAGACCAGCCAGTGCGCCCCCTGTATGCTACCACCGCATGCCCACCGGGGGCCCTGTGTGTCATTAGGATGTGGGACAGGTCACAGCAGAGCTTCCCCAGTAAGAGGGACAGGGAAGAAAGGCCTGGCGATTGATTCGTGAACGCCAGCCTTGGACACTGTCTGGATTGCCAGGGCTCGAACCTCCACAGATTATGGGATGCTGGTGTATGCAGTGTCACCATGCGTTGGAGCTAACTCAATGGTAACTGCCACCGCCACCAATAATATTAACACTGTAAACATTGACTATACATTTTACCTACAGGGATTGTTTTTACGGGGGCGTTTTTATTATTCAGAAATGATTGGGAAGACATTGGACACTGGTTATCTAGTAATCAATAGGATGAGATGTGGCGGGCCTCATCTTGACTCTCAGAGTAGACTCTTAGCTTTGGAAGAAACATGAAACGGGAATTCTTAAATTCTTTTCCTCTGAATTCCCCAAGTGGATGAGGAGAATGAGCTTATATTTTTCTGGGCATCTGGGAAATCTAGCCAGCAGCAGTCTGCTAGCTACGAGGTCGGCATCCTGAGAAGTCTGGTGTTTTCTCTCTGAAAAATTCACGTGCATTTGCTGTTCTCCATGACGTGCATGCGGCCTTTATTTTAGCAATGGAAAGCGTTCCACGTACTCCCTGCAGGTACATTGAGGCTGTGGGCAGATGGGCCATGCGTCCTCATGCCTCCGTAGCCCTCCTGGTACCCCTCTGCCCCCCATGTCCACAGAGTGAGAAGCAGGGCCTGAGGGGTCGTTCAGCCGAAGGCCTTTCCAGTGGGAAGCCCTTACACAGAAGGCTGACCAGCTTCTGCTGGGTGCCTCAGAACATAGACTGTGATGACATTGCTGGCACAGCTCCGAAACACATCGCCGTTTAAGGAAGAGATTTTTTTTTTTTTTACATTTTATTAGGGGCTCATACAACTGTTATCCCAATCCATACACACATCAATTGTGTAAAGCGCATTTGTGCATCGTTTCTCAAAACATTTCCTCTCCACTTAAACCCCCGACATCAGGTCCTCATTTTCCCCTCCCTCCCCGCTGCCCCCTCCCTCATGAGCCCTTGATAGTTTATAAATGGGTATTTTGTCATATCTTGCCCTGTCCGACCTCTCCCTTCATCCACTCTTCGGTTGTCTGTCCCCCAGGGAGGAGGTCACACACAGTTCCATGTAATCGGTTCCCTCTTTCCTACCCATTCTCCCTTTACCCTCCCTGTTTTGCCACTCACACCACTGGTCCTATAGGGCTCATCCGTCCTGGATTCCCTGTATTTTCAGTTCCTATCTGTACCAGTGTACCTCCTCTGGTCTAGCCAGTCTTGCAAGATAGAATTCAAGTCATGGTAGTGGGAGCGGGGAGGAAACCTTTAAGGGAAGAGATATTTTTTAAAAACGCTAGCTCGGATGGTACAATGTGACAGGTCAAGCTGATTCTGCCGTGTAGCAGCCCCCACAGGACCGAGTGGGTCTCCAGACAGCTTCTGAGGCCATACATGTTTGTGGCAACACACTGCCCCCGCTTTCTTCCGTGGGGACCTTCCAGCAAACTGCCTCGCGCTTCATCCACTGAGGCATCCGGTGGAAACCGGCCGAGGAGGAGCAGCAGCGCAGAGGGCGTGCGACTGAACCCGCCGGCCTCTGCTGTGGCATTTCTGTGTACAGACGCTGGGACAAAGTCATGGCACACGTCCCACCTGGCACATGCAGGCATCATCCAGGTGTCGTCTCCTTGCCCGTGGCCGTCCTGTGGGGCTCTCAAGAAGTGAGCAACAACGATGGTGGGTGGGTCTTCTGACCCATTGGAATGGCTTATACACCAAAATTGCAAAGTTAAAAAAAACCCCAAAAGGTGAATGTCGGCCAGTCTGCAGCATGAGGCCTGGACTAAAGAGGAGGTAACTCCTCTATGAGGAACCCCTGAATGTGTCACTTACCCTCCCTGCTCTCTCTTACCCTCTGTACAGGGAGAGGACGAGACTGGCTTTGCAGCCATTAGCTTCTCACTGGGTATTTTCAAAGTACCACTTACTGTGTATCTAAGGAGCCATGGTGGCATAGTACTTATGCACCAGGCTGCTAATCGCAAGCAAAGTCAGCAGTTTGAAACCACCAGCCACTCTGTGGGAGAATAATAGGGCTTTCTACTCCTGTTAGAGTTACCGTCTCGCAAGAAAAAGAAAAAAAAAAAAAGAGTTACAGTCTCAGAAACCCACAGGGGCAGTTCTATAGGGCTGCTGTGTATGAGTCAGCACCGACTTGATGGTAGTGAGTTTGGGTTTGGATTCTATGATATATCAACATGAAGTGATTTCCTCTTTAGCTTTCCAGACTTGTAAGAACGTAGACTGTCTAGATAATACTATTGCTGACTATTGAGACCTGCAGGAGCAGATGAGCTTCAGAACCCCGTTATCCCCCTTAAATTTTGCTAAAACCAGGTCTTGATTAAAAATATGGAGCCTTTTGTTTTTGTTTTCACCAACAGGGAGAAGTGGAAGCCAGGGTTGAAGAACTAAAGTTTGATCGTTACTCCATATTTAGGCCTGGGTAAGTAGCCATTCAGAGCCCTGGTGGCATCATGGGTTACCAATTGGGCTGCTAATTGCAAGGCCAGCAGTTCAAATCCACTAGCCACGCCACTGGAGAGAGATGAGGTTCTAAGTACCCATCCTGGCTAACAGTACAGCATTGTATACTCCCTAGAAACTAGCTTTTCCCTTGGAGATGGTGACAACAACATATTTTAACGTATGAAAAATTAGCTGTAGAAAGATCCTACCCTTTTTACTTTGAGAAAAGGAATAGACATCTAGCGTATGTCAGGGCCATCTTCAGGGCGTCTGTGATTCCTGTGTAGTACTGACTGTGTTCTATATATCAGGGGGTACCCCAAAAAACAAGAATTGTGCTTCCCGCTAGGCAAGCATCAAGAAACTCTCTACGTGTTAGTGCACCCAGTGGCGACACCTGGGAAGGTTCTCTCAGGTCATAGTGAATTTTTTTGGAAAAGCAGTTTCACATGAACCTTGTTTTTTGTGATGGCCTATTTACGAGAACAATGTGCCACTGTGAAATTTTGTTTCCTGCTTGGGAAATATGCCACAGACACTGTTGTGAAATTGAACACAGCTTACAAGGACAGTGCTATAGGAAAAGCTCAAGTGTACAAATGGTTTACTCTTTCAAAAAAGGTGAAATGTTGATTGATGACAAACCTCATTCTGGACGTTCGTCAGCTTCCCAAATGGATGAAAATGTCGACTCCTAGTGCATTTGGAGTACTTAGAGGTTCAGAAAAGATTGCATAACAGTGTGGGTTTTGCCAGCATGACAATGCACCTGCTCTCAGTGTGCCAGTTTTTAGCAAAAAAACAGCATGCCTCTCTTGTCCCACGCACCTAACCTCAATCCATGCCACTTCTTTTTGTTTCTTTGAATGAAGAGGGACATGAAAGGACAGCAATTTGATGATGTAGAAGAGGTGAAGAAAAAAAACTGAGGGAGGTGCTGTCAGCCATCCAAACAGATGAGTTTGAAAAGTGTTTCCAAGAATGGACTCACAGATTTGACAAATGAATTAAGTATAATGAAGAGTACTTTGAAGGTGATGAGGTTGTTTTATTTTAAAAAATGAAATATATAGCTTTGAAGGAAAAAAAGAAATTCCAGGCTCTTTTGGGTACCCCCTCATACATATTTTCAATCTCTAGGCACCAAATAAAACCTTAGGCCCATTGTGACTGGATGGCAACTCACCCTTTCTTCCTCTGCTTCTCTTCGTCTCCTTAGCGTCCTCCTATGTGACAGGCAGGAGTCTCGCCCCAGTGAATGGTTGGTCAGGAAGATCTTTGGCTCCTTACCAGAGTCCTGGGCCAGTGCACACTCGGTGCCCGTGGTGACGGTGGTGAGAGCCATGCTGAACAACGCAGTGAGGCCCCAAGTCCCCGAGAAGACCGAGCTTCTTGACAACAAGGCCATCTACGCCCTGGGCAAAGCCGACGATGCTCTCAGACCGTAGCTGTGGCAGGACTCTCAAGAACGTGCTTTTAACTGCAAGCTTTCACTCTGTTGCTTCGCTAGTCTCAGCCTCCTGTCACCCACCAATCCAGAAGTGACTGTGCCCATCCTCAGTGGTTTCAAGCCTTGAACACCCACACACACACACACACTTCACCCCACCCGTGGGAGCTTCTGAAAAAGCATTCAGGACCCCCTGCCTCAAGCCTTTGGAATCAGAATTTCTGGGGCCTGAGCGTAGGAATTTGTTTTGTTAGGTTTCTCCTGATGGTTTTGATGTCACTGTTGGGAAATCAGCTTTGGAAACACTTGTCTGCAGAACCCCAGTGTAACTGTGAATCTGTGTTCACATTGCGGACATTCACATCTCTGAGGTGGCCCAGTGCTAACTTTTTAACTGTGTAAATAAACATTATGCCTTTACCTATGTTTTCAAGTATATGCTAAAAATGAACTCTCACAAGTGAGGGTATATAATCCATGGGGCAAATTAATAGGAGAGTACCCATACACAGACAAGCCTTGGGAGCCATAGATAGATTATTAAAAAATGCCCAAGGCTCAATGGTAATATGCATGTATTGGGGGCTGTGGGATTATAGCATAGCAGGTATTAATATATCTGGCACTTGCTAAGTGGCAGCAACTGTACATGTTACCTGCCCTTTAGCCCTCCAATCTTAGCAGTACTGTCACTGCCCCATAGCTTAGATGGACAAGCAGCCTAGGGGTGGTTAAGTGCCTTCCTTGCCCAAGGGCCCAAAGCTGAAGACCTGAAGCTAGGCCATGACAGAGCCTAACCCAAGATTCTAACCTAGATCTGCCTCTTGGCTTCCTTTGTATTTTTAACCGTCTTCAAGAGCAGCCTTTATGTGTCTCTTCCCAGGAGTTCTCATTCATTGTTACTGGATGAATAATTCGTTCACAAGAAAGGGCTCTCTAACCATAGAAAGGAATGGGCATTCCCAATGTCAGCTTCCCCAGGAAGAGGCATGTTCTAAGGCAGAGGAGGATCTTGGGATTTGGGCGTTTGAAAGGAGATGGAACATAGGCCTCTTGTGGCTGGAATTCCCTGAGGGCTGGATGCTGAAAACTAATTGTGTTTCAGTGGTAACAAACATGGGCCCCCAGCAGAGAAACAGCCCATGGGTTGGGGACCTGAGAGGATATGCTGCAGCCTTTGGGCTCTAAATACAAGTGACCCTTTCCAATTAGTTCCAACTGAAAGGCTTGAAAGTGGAACCCAGGGTGAAGGCTTGCGCTGAGCTGGAATGTTTGTTAGCCAGGATTATGCAAAGCCTGATGGTCAATTGAATTGGATAAACATACCCACCAAACACACTTCGATATAAACCGGGACTGGAGCTTGGCACCCTCCCTAATGAAATGCCTGCGGCCTGCTCCCACTTTCTACCATTTCAATAGACACATCCTCTGTTTTAAGAGTGTCCAAGGCCCGTAGATACTAGGAAGAGGAAAATAAACGGAGGTGAAAGGGAGTTTGGGGGTGTTGTGTTGACCACCGGGCAGCCAGAATGTTGCTTTGCCTACCACATCTGATAGCTTCACCTCTACTTGTTTCCCATTGCTTAGGACAAAGCAAAGCACCTCACATGCAGTAACCCATTTTATCCCTGGGCTGCTGGCCATGAGGTTCACTCTTGGAAACCACCAGCCACTCCGTGGGAGAAAGATGAGGCTTTCAACTCCCGTAAAAAGTTACAGTCTCGGAAACTATTGGGGGCGTTTCTACCCCGTCCTATAAGGTCACCGTGAGTCAGCACTGACTCGAAGGCAATGAGTTCTCTGGCCCTGAGTTAGTCCAGTCGTTATCCCATTTTATCACTGAGGACATTGAGTCCCAGAGAAGTCAGGTAATCCTTTCATGGAGTTAGAAAGTGGCAGAATCAGGATTCAAACGCAGTCTGGCGGGCTCCAGTCAAGGTGCTCACTTAGCCACTGTACTTGCATGACATCTTTACAACAGTCCATTGGTACCCAGACGCTAGCCTGCGACTGGCCTCCTCTGCCACGAGGGGGCGCGCGCGGGCCGGTCGGCCCCCCACCAGCCACTCTCCAGAATAAGACCTGCAGAGGGCGTGCTGGCGACGGCAAAGCTGCGGCGGCGTCTCCGCCCCTGGGCTCCGAGCCCGGGGCGGGGTCCTCCAGGCCAGGCCTGCCGCAGGCCGAGGCCAACCCAGGATTCTTCCGCACCGGCGCGCCTTCCCTACGTCGCTTACTCAGCACGCACTGCGACAACCCTGCGGCAGGAGGAGGCGGGGCCCAGGCTCTCGTCCCGCCCACCCGACTCACGTGACGACCCACCAGGCGGCCTCGAGACCGGAAGCGCTTCCGCGCGCGCTCTCGTGTTTTCAGGCGTGCGCGGGGTTTCCTAATTCCCGGCCCTGCGTGGCCACCGCTCGCTTCCCCCCTCGTTCCTGGGGTCCCCAGGTCCCCTGGCCCAGAGCACTCGGTAGCGGCTCCGCGCGCACGCGCCGC